AATACTTACTTTATTAGGACAAAAAGGCATAAAAACTATCATAGCAAAAAATTCTCTTCAAAAAACAAATGCATGATTAGATTGTAATCTATGAAACTTTTTAGAAAGACCGACATTAATACCAAAAGATAATATCATGTACAAAAATGTAATGAAACTCTAAATATTAGATTTGAAAACTATAATTATCAAATAAAACAGACATAACATAATGAAGGAGAATGTGGATACTTTAAAATAAAGGACCATAAAAGTAAAGATGAAGTTAATGCATTAGATGAAAACAGTGAGGAAGACAAAAGCAAAGATGCTGAAAAAGAATTTAGATAAAAGACCATAAAAGTAAAGATAAAGTTAATGCATTAGATGAAAATAGTGAGGAAGACAAGAACAAAGATGCTGAAAAAGAATTTAGATATACAGATATGGATACTTTAAAATAAAAGACCATAAAGTAAAGATGAAGTTAATGCATTAGATGAAAATAGTGAGGAAGACAAAAGCAAAGATGCTGAAAAAGAATTTAGATATATAGATATGGAATATTACAGAAATCTTATAAAAACTAGAGAAATAGAAATTAGATTGTTAATAGAAAAGAATCAAACAAATATAGAAACCAAGATGAAAGAAAACAGTGAAAATAATAAAAGAACTAACTTAGAAACAAACCAAGAATTTGAAAAAAATAAAAAAATAAAAGAGAACCCATGAATTCAGAATACGAAATAGGACGAAAGAATTCTTTTTCCCCTACAAAAGTTCATGAGTAGGTAGACAAAAAATATAGAAGCCTAGAAACAAAATAGTCAGAAAAATGTAGTTTGCTATTAGCAAGTGATGGAGGATTGATTTTAGAATTAAATAATTATAAACCTCAAAATAGACCTAGTACGGTAACTAAATGAGAAAATCCTATAATTAGAGCATGTAATAATAGTGTACCTATACAAATGACTGTAGAAGGAATGTGGCTTATTTAGAAATTTATTTAGAAAAGATAGCATTAGGCATATATGTTGCAACCAAAAGACTAAAGCCAAAAGAAATTAGATTAAGAATGGTCGGAGGAGATAATTTTAGAAATTTTACAAGTTTTATTAGATAACTAATTATAGGATTTGACCAATAGAGTCAACACTTATGAACAAAATTAAGCCTTAGAAAAATTAGAAAAATTAAGTGTTAGTAATATGATGTGTATAATCACTTTGCTTCCTTCATATCAAAAAATTACAAAATTAGTGCCATTAGAATCTTTATATTTTTCAACATCAGAATTCATAGCTTAATGTCCAAAAATTTCAGTTAACTTGGACCATTCCAAACAAGGTCTAACATTACAAACAATTTTTGAAATTCCCTGACTAAACCATACAGTTCCTTTTTAACCCCATTTGAATATCATAAATAATTTTTGGCTCAAAATAATTACTTCATGATTTTTTCTCAAAAAATGCACTATAGTCCCTAAAGTTAACAAAATTGTAAGGTGGTCCTCAAACTTGCAATAATTGCCTCCAACCTCAAATATCAACCTGTAATCATTATTACAACTATACATGAAAATAATTGACATACAACTTTCTATAAATACATTTAAGTCTCTAAACATTTTAAATTGGACAATTAAGTCCTAATCTGATTTCGAGTACTCGAGTCACTAATAATTCTAAGTTCATGATTCTTTCGACAATCTTATTTAGGAAGTGTTTATAAATAATTTATTTGATAATAGATATAAATGAATGATAGATAAATGACAATATTTTTGATCTCATGAAATATATGGATAAAAATGATTTGATCGTTTATAAATAGTGTATAAGCATTAGCCAAACATAGACTATAAGTCTAATTATATAAAAAATAAAATAAAATAATAATAATAAAAAATTCACTTTGGTCCCTTAGGAGTTGAAAGAATTTCAATTTGACCTAAGTTTGCAAACTCTACATTCAAGTAACTCTTAAATTTTGACTCCCATAGATAAGAAAAACACAATATTAAAGAAATCATTTGTATCTCCATTTCCAACTCAAGCTGCTAGCCAACAATGTCAGGGGGTTGTGGCATTACCAAGGAACGTGTAGTTCACTTCCAAGGTAGCCACCAACCATGGTTTACGAACCCAACATTACAAATTAAAATTCAGATTTTAATTTATGTTAAAGTTAACAACTAATTATAATTACAAATACTATGGGTCTCACGACTTTTTAACCATATAAGTTAACAACTTTTATTAAAATATAATAAAAATCTGATTTTTTATTTTATTTTATTATTATTATTTTTATGATGAGGAAATTCGCAACCGTTATCCCCTTCGAGTGCACATTGGGTAAACCGTCGAACTGACGTAATAGTTCACAAATTACGCAAATCAGGTAAACCATATTAGGTAAGTCCAGTGTGACAAACTCGACCGAAAAAATGTTGGTAAATGAAATCAAACTCGTGACCAAAAGTCTCCATACTCACATACTCTACCAACTCGGTCATCCCATGAGGGGCACTAAAAATCTGATTTTAATATCACCAAACAGTGCTAAAAGAGAGTTAGTTTGTGACCCAGATCAATTCATTTTGTTGTTATTACTCGAACTTTACCATTTTGGACGAATTCGCAATGATGTAACGTGACTCAATTCCCTTAGGCTTGCCTTTGAGGATTCAAAGAGTGAGTGAGAAGAAAACTATATTCAATTTGACATTTAATGTTTGTAATATAGATTTTTTTCCTACCCCTTATAAGGGCATGATTAGCAAAGCCTTCTTGGGTTGGTATTACTGTGCTTTTAAGAGAACCACATTTAGTTATACTGGACAAAGAATCGAATAATCAGTTAAGTGTTTAATAAATTTTATTTCAAAATTGTTGTATGTATCAAAATTAGTATTTTAGCGTATAGTAGATCTTTGGTAGCCACTATTTTTATGTATTTATATATCACTCTAAATCTACCCCCATTATGATTTTAAATGTACTATATTCATTGATATTGTATTCTAACATTATCCTTATTAAATTCATTCATTTAAGAACTGTATATCCACTCCCCTTTTTAAAGACTATTTCAAATTATATATTTTTTTTCTACAAGGAAGAAACATGATGTATTGCTTATAATTAGTATGTCCACTTCTCTCGTTTTTTGTTTATGTTCAAGTTAGGGATATAAGTAAAAATTGTCGAATCAAATGGTAATCTCCTTCAAAATTGTCGATTTGGTGCCAAATTGATTCGTCGATTATTTTTATTTATTTTTTTATTTAATTTAATTTTATTTTTGGAACTGAGAGTGATCTATTAAAGAAGATCAGTTTTTATTTAGATTCTCATAATCAACATAAAAAAATAATTGTGGATCATGTGATTGGAGGCAAACTTAAGCTGCTGAATTGTGGATGATTTTAATGAGCAAAAAAAAAAAAAAAAAAAAATGCTGAATGGTTTCTCATGTTCCTATACTGTGACGGTTTGTTAAATTATTTTGTTGTTTTCGTTTACGACTAATGGCTTTTCACGTGCTTTTATGATATTATGAATACCTAACAAGCTTAGCATCAATCTTCTCTATATATATATTTTTTATTATGTTCGAAAGAACTCGTTCCAATGATGTTTCTTTCTTTATTTGTTTTGACTTTAGTTGAAAATGGATATTTAGTGGGGTGTCGTCAAATGAGATTGTAATGAATTTTAAAAGTCATTTTAAATTTAGATATCGTCAATTAAGATTTTATTGGATTTTAATGAAATTCATTAAAATTTAGGTTCCTAATTGAGATTTTGATGAAATCATTTAAAATTTGTTCAAATTTGGGTATCCTCAATAATTAATGAATTTATAAAAATTTCATTAAAAGAAGAATTTTAAAAGATTTGGATTGATTTCAAGCTTAAAAATACATATAAGCAAATCTTTTGAAATTTAACTATATTTCATGTGATTCTTATGGAATTTGTAAGCATCTATTCAAATTCACAAAATTCATTAAAATCTTGGTTGAGGACTCCTCCATTAGAGTTTTAGTTGAACATAAATTTGGAGGGATAGATTTTATTTTGTTATATTCTAGTCTACTTAAATAAATTCAAATAAAGTTAAACATGTAATATAGAAATAATTAAAAGTCGATAGATATATAACAATCACGAATAAAAATAACGACTCCTTAAATTTATGAGTGGTTATTTGTTATGATAATTTTTATTTGATATACGACATTTTCATTGCAATAAAGCTCCTCAATCTTTTTCCTATGGCAACAAATATTTTCTTAACTTTTTTAGTCGAATTTTTATTTTCAACATTCCATTAATTAGTATATCTTATCCTTGATGATAATTTCTATCAAAATATTCTGTTTTCATGCTTTGAAATGAGAGAAAAATATCTTATCGCATTTATTTATTTATTTGAAAAATAATTTGTTTTATGCCATTTTAATGGACTTTTTACATAAAGTTGTTATCAAATGCAAAATGTGTTAATTAACGAAAAATTTGATAATAAGAAACATATGAAAAATCGATAGGAAATAAATGATATAATGAGCAAAAATTTAGAACCTTGAGTGCAATTAAAATGTGGTGCATGAAATAAAAATTGAGGTGTGACTGTAACTATTCTAAAATTATTGCTATTTTTGATACTATTACTAAAATGGACGTTGTATTTAGGGGGTGTTTGATAGATATTTTTATGGAAAAATGCATTTTAAAATAGTAAATTGATGTGAAATGTGTGGTTGAGAAATAAGAAAAAGTTTTTGATTTACGTGTAATATTATTTTAATAAAGAATGTGCGGTAGAAAAGACGTGAGAGAAAAATGCTTTTTGAAAAAAAAATGACTACCAAACGGGACCTTATTATTATTTTTGGTAGTATTGTAGAATTTATTTTTATAATCAAATATTTTATAAAACAATATATTCCTAGTTAGCCAAATTAATATGCCAGTCGAGGGGGCTCACGTTATGGGGTTATTAATAAATTGCAAACGTGACGCGGCACGCAAAGGTTTCTTTTGAATCCTCGACAAGGAAGCAAACGATTCGGAGAGAGCGAAAATCGCCCTGAATCTTTTCGAAGGAGTAAAGTTGGAGTCGTAACAATAAAATGGATCGGGTCCCCGCCGCAAATGGGCTCTCTTTCCGGGTCGGATTCACCGGCCACAGCGGCCACCTCAGAATTGAACCTCTCCCTCCTGTCGAACGCCCCAATCCCCTGCACTCACTCCCCGACTTCATTCCTGTAAGTATTGTTCGTCTCAATCACAGCTCTTTCTTTAATAATGGCGGATTTTTTATTTTTTATTTTTTAAGTGAATTTGAAGTTTATGAATTAGGGCCAATTTGGAATGTAATTATTGAATTATTGCATAATTGTGGGCAGCCACCAGCGTTTCCGTTGGAAACGCCTGAAACTATTAAGGAGTACATAAAGGAGAAACATTTGCTGCCTAGGTTGGATGAGGATGTCTTTTCTCCGGAAAATGCGGGACGGCAGTGGGAATTTGACTGGTTCGATAGAGCCAAGACCGAGCTAGAGCTTTCATTTCCACGGTCGGTGGTTGTTCCAAGATGGGAAATGCCTTTCAGGCGCAAAAACCATGGCCTGGGAGATGAAAGGTGGGAGCCGAACTCGGTAGAGGTATGAAAAGTTTGCTTTGGCTTTTTTCTTTGTTCTCGTGTGTTAGACATTATTAATATAGTTGATGACAATTAATAGTTGTGATTTCAGATTATGGCAATATGAACTTAATAGCATATCCAGTGTGTGATCAGTTATGTGTTAGTCTATGTTGGGGTAGATTTTTTGAGTCACTCAATAGATGTAGCTCCGGAGACTTTGGTTAGATCAGCTGTTCTTAACATTGAGAAAATTTTCAGTGAAGAATGTTAAAGATCTTTGCATTAAATTTACAGCATGAGATGTTTAATGTACTATATCAAATTTTTGCTGGAAATTCTTTGGAGAAACTATGACGGGGAAATTCTTTTCATACAAAAGGTTCTCTCTCGATAAGATACTTCTTCGTTTACTTTTCCTTTACAGAGGACAAGGCAGCGCAAAGATAGCAAATTGTATGGATTATTAAGTTAGAGCTTATTTGAATTTCATTTTGAACAAATAAACTGCATTTGCACTCACTTATTGATTACTCTCTCCTGTTAAAATAAGCTCTTATAATTCTTTGACCTGGAGAAGTGAAGCATCAATCGTAAAAATTAGAGAATTATTTTACAACACGCCTAATGAACTGGTTGCATCGTGAATTGGGAATATATTTCAAAACCAATTCAGTTAGTAAATCATGCACGTTTTAAAGATAAATTTGATTGTAGCGAGCAAGTTTACAATTTTCTATTAACGAGAAAGTTGTCAAAAATTGAATTTGAATTACATAATAGGATGGAGTGTACTACTTTTAATTGTGAATTGCATTGGATCACAACAATTACTACAATAGTAAAGCCAAATATAGCATATGGTATGTGAAACAACAAATCAAATAGTTAATGCAGTTATACTATTTAGACTATTCTGGCATAAGGCAGTTGTCTTCATGGAAAAATTACAGTGATTGTTGATCAATAAATAAATAATTTGAGTTGTCGAAGCATACGTTAAACTAAGAGTTCAACTCTCTAAAATCGCTAACAACATAGCATTATGAAAATATAAAGATGTGAGAAAAGAGAAAAAATAAAGATGTGTGCAGTGCCATATCCAGAGAAAAATATGGCTACCCCAATTCAGAGAGAGCGAGACAAGTACAAATACAGTAATCCTTTCTCCAATAGAATTGGAAATACATTAGTTAGTCACAATGCAAACAAAAAGTTTGATGAACTCTTCATAAAATTTTAAATGTCTTATTGAGTTTAAAGATTCCAATATCTTGAAAGAGGCACATCTTCAAAAGAGAACGAAGAGTATTGGTTCAGACCAGAGAAAGAGGCACATCTTCAACATTTAAGGTGTTAAGGAGTATTAATTGAGGTACGACTCTGAAGATGCCAAAAGAAAAAAAAGGAAAACAACAAGGGTGTTAAAACTGAGTTTGTAGACAACCTGGCCCATCTGGAAGCAACCTTACTTGTCTGGGGGCAGTTTTTAACTAAATAGTAGGAATCACATATAGATATCATCATAATAAAACATAACCACGGTTCTCAGGATTTCAGAAATTTGTGGCTTCGAATGCCCACCATATAATTTATCTCCATATGAATCATGCTTCTACAATGTGAATATGCGCTTTTGGCTATATATATAAATATATATATGGGGGTGTGTGAGCCACATTATTTTGGTAATAATGCATTCTTGAATAGTGTATTGACGGAAAATGTGTGGTTAAAAAATAAGGAATTTTTTTTGATTTGTGTGATATTATTTTATTGAAGAATGTGTGGTTGAAATGATGTCAAATTACTGTTTAAGAATGCATTTTTTTGGAATAATGTGACTCAAATAGGCTCTATACATACATATACATAAATACACACACACACACACACATAGATCAAAGATGAAAAGAAAGCCATATATTTTGGCTAGACTTTTGTATTAGTGTCAGATACATTTAAGCTATTCGGCTTATAAATTTAGCCGTTAAATAACAGTCTGCTTTTCAGCTGAAAGACCAGAGAAAACTGTATCTATTACTTCTGGCATTTTATAAATTAAGTATGATATGAGCTTGTCCTAATAATTAATTTCCAGGCTCTTCACAGTTTCCATTCCTTTCACTGTTTTCATTCTCGGCAACGTATCGGTTTTGTAGTTAATAATAAGGCACTGTTTAGGTAGATGTATCAGAACTCACAGTAGGAGCCAAGGATTCTGGTGCTTTGCCTCGCATTGTTGGACCTGCAAAAGATTTTGTAAGAGGAAGCATCAACAACCGTCCTTTTCACCCAGGTGGCTTGGATAATACTGATTCCTTGGGAAAGATACTTCCAGATGGTGCTTGCAATGGTGAATGGGTAAAAGAGGTTCTTAACGGGGGTCCTGCACAAGTCGTTCCCCCAGGTTTTAAAGATGGACTGGATTTTGGTGATCTCAAGGTAACATGATTTAATTTGACAATTGAAGTGCCCGAGTCGGTCAAAAATTAAGTTTTTGTTACTTTTTAGTTTACATTGATAGTGCTAACATATTTGGCTATTCATAAATTCTTGAAGGGACATTCTTGCACATGGAATGTTTTTGAGAATCAAAGTGCAGTGAAAAGTGCGCCAGATATGGTCAGTTGGAGTACTTTTATGATCTCATATGTAAACCAGTTAATAGCTGTGTCACTTATATGCAACTATTCTTATCTGCCTGAAATATGTCTTTTTGCTTCTATTTTGTTAATATTTATCTGTTTCTTCTATCTGCAGAACGAGTTTTCCGTGCAGTTTGATGACTTATTTAAGAAAGCTTGGGAAGAGGATGTCATAGAATCTGTGGGAGATGGTCTGTATGCTTTTCATGTTGATTTTCTGATCTATGCCCTGCTGTATATGAACTGCTTGTAGTTTGTCTTGACTTATGCTGAGAATACCTCTTAACTCGATTTGATAAAAACCACGACAAGACCTACTTTAGTTTCAGGATTGTTACGCATTTGAGTGGGCACTGACTAAATTAATTAAGCTAACTTCAGTTCTGCTGTTGAAATCCATGCAGGCAGAAGAAGGAATTTGCTACCTATTATGGAAATATTTGCACTAATATGGGAATACAGTATATCCATTATTTTCTTTAGGTGTGAGTGAATTTCTTATGAAAACTGAATGTTGGAAGCTGTTACATCTAGTGATAAACACTTCAGTATGGTAATTAATTCTTGAAAGCACTGTGGATTTAAGTTTAATCCGATTCTAGAATGTAGAAATGCCATTCCTCTCTTGTACATGGAGAATTCCTTTATGTGAACTTAAATCACGAACATTAAATGTTGGAATCATTTCAATATGGTAATCTCGATTACCTGAGTTGACACCCCAATGTGGTGTTCTCAGAATATAGGGGATATGAGGAGGTGGGAAGAGATTGAGATGAAAAAGGATGGTATGTAGGCCCCTCAGCATGTATTATATGCAATTCAAAACTATCCTTTCTTTATTCATGTTAATAAATATCGTTTAACTTGAGTGAGGTTGGTACTATTCTCTGACACTGTTAATTACTGTGCTTAAAAAGAGAAAAACAATCTTCCCTTTTTTGTTATGTGTGATAGTACTTGCAGCTTTTTACCTACACCAGAATGTTCCAATTGGATATTCTTAGTTATGTTATTTTTTGCAGGCCACATGTTGGAGTTAAAAACGGAAGTGAAAGAGCTGGAGTCTGTCAAGGAATCTAGTCAGACTGAAACTGAAGTAAAAGAGCTGTATGTGGCTGGTGTTAACACAAAGGGCGAACCATCTGCTATAGATCAAATTTTGTCTGTTGAGTCTGAAAAATCGATGCCAAGGTTCGATGGAGATAATGATGATGATGCACAACAACAAAAGGAGGTAATGGTTTGTCTAGTTTAGGATACTTTAGTAAGTTGCAGCATTTTAAAGTTTTTGCACTAGTTTTTCTCTGGTTTCTCAAGTAGAGTCAATGAATCTTTTAGGTGTGGGCTCTTAGCAGAGGCAGTGAAGAGATTGCAGAACGGTTTTATGAACTTGTTCCTGATATGGCGCTTAATTTTCCTTTTGAACTTGATCCTTTCCAAAAGGAGGTACTGATTCTGTTATAATTATTGTGCTAAACTTAATCTCGGTACTCTGGTTCTGTTATAATTATAGTTGGAAGATGCGCTTGTCTCTAACTTGGAATTATGATGTTAAAGCTTCAATGAAGGCTATTGATTTCAGTTTTTTTCATCACTGGATGGTATTGTCTATAGGGATAGTTGCAGTTGCGTCCCGAACCTTTCAAATAGTTGCAGCTTCTACCCTAACCTCTCATTTATAGAATAGCTGGTCCCAAAGCTTTCAATCCTGTGTGGTGGTTTCCATCCGGGGGTCCGTTAGTTGACTAGAAAAATGAGTTTGATCACATCTTGACCAATTTTAAAAAGTGCGAAATAGAAAATTTACATTTTCCCCATATAAAACAATTAAAATAGTTCTAAAAAATAGAAACCAAAAATTAACTTGCTGTTTATTCATGAAAATAGAGGGAAGTAAACATTTCAAGTATTGAAAGACCGGATGGCCCATTCTAAAATGCCATAACATAATTTCACTATTTCTAAGGACAGAAGCAGAATCACAAATTTTAATTTGACACTGATTTCTCACATCGACCTCATCAAAGTAGTAGAGTCTTTCACTTTTCTTAGCACTGCCAGTCGTCTTTCCCAATGATGGATCCTGAAAAAATACAGGGAGATGGAAAAAATTTAAAAGAGCAATTAGAAGTTTTTGTTAACTGGCTTATAGAGAGTAAATTGTTTGATAAATTTGGAACATGTAAGACCGATTCTAAAGTTATAGAATTGTAAATTTGAGTACTCACTTTTCCTGCAACAGTCGATAAGGAACTATATGCAATCATAATCTTAAGATTACCAGCACATGTTGTATATGAAGTGAATAGGTGGTAGGAGTTTGTCATGTGATCAGAAGCTCTCGAGTCAATGATCCAGGGTGTTTTAGATTAAGTAGTGGATTTTAAGGCTCTAAAAAATTTACCTCTGTGAGCTAGAGAACCTGAAGGATTATATTTGGAGATCTGACTTGGTGGCTGGAGACAGGGAAACATTTTGTAGAGTTGCTCCATTTGCTCGAAGTTAAAAGCCCCAATGGACTCTTTGGCTTTTTCTGTTGGATAATCAATAGACGCTTAATATCCTCGATTTTTGTTACTTCGCTTCGGTTTCCAGTCTGCTGGCTTTCCATGTAAGTCCCAACATGTCCTCATTGTGTCTTGTTTTTTAGCAATGTTCACACCCGGGTTGACTTTTTTGTTGTTAAGCTTGACCCACTTGCTGATCCTTTTGAATATAGGCCCACTCCTCCGAGCCCAATATTAGAGTAATTGGGTCCAACATTAACTGTTGCCTCATTGTGGAAATATGCTAGCCTACATTTACTATGTAAAGGCCTATTAATTTGAGGCCCAATTCCATTTACATTGAGTCCAAAGGCTTCAACACCAGATCTAATCCCTGCAGCCACACCACGCCACTGGTCTCATTCATCATCACCTTTCGTCGACTCCTCTCTCCTTACTTTTGCGAACACTTCTCACATGGTAGAGGTTGTTGGCCGAGTATCCTGCCTCGAACGTCGTCTAAGTCTCGGTGAAGTCGAGTCAATAACTTGAATACCCTTTCATTCGCTATTTTTTTTCCAATAGTAGACGCTGTCTTCTAGGCACTTACATTTTTACTTAGAACTTAGGTTGAGTTCTTGCCATAACGCCGTCATCTCAAGGTAATGATCAATCACCTCATGTTCTCCCTGTTTGATTTGCCACAACTTGGATTTAATTTCGAAAATATGGGAAGAATTTTCAAAGTTGAAGTACATCTCTTTCACGGCTTCCCAGACATCCTTCGCGGTGGGCAAGAACAAGTCTTTCCAATTGAGGGCTTCATGGAATTGATGAGCCATGCACTCACCATGGAGTTCTCCCATCACCATTTTTGAAGAACAGTGTCGGTTGAGGCTGGCTTTTTCATCTCTCCGTTAAGGTACCCATGTTTTCATTTTCCATCCATTATTAGCTTGATAGACTATGTCCAATCCTGGCATTCTTTCCATTGTGAGTTGGAATGAAAAGTTTTCAATTCCTCCTCTCATGGCAAAGGTGGCTTCTATGTATCTATTAAACAATTCAGAGGTCATCGAGCCTCTGTCATTGGCTATAGTGTCTGTCATCTTCCAAGCTTTGATACCATGTAGAAGATGAAGATGGAACTAAGGAAAAAGACCTTTTTTTTTTCTTTCCACGCTAATAATGTACAATGAAGAATACATAACAATGTACAACGTGTGGGTTCTATTTATAGTACAAGAAGAATACATAGAAAAGGAAAAATAAATCTCCAACCCCTAACTAATCATAATATTCTATATATGGTAACTGGAATCAATTGCAATCTTTCCTCAATCAACTAGGGATTTCGAGGTGTCTTTATTGGATGATGAAAGAAAAAGACTGATATAAATTATTCTTGACCATATGTGAGTTGTTTGATTCTTCAAGATAGTAGAGCCCGTTTCTTTCCTTAGCAAGTCCAATCTTCTTTCTCGAAATCTGGTCCTGAAAAATACAGTAAGAAGGATTGAAGAGTACATTACAATTCATATTACGTGTGAGCTTCTGAATGGATATTAAGTTGGTGGACAACTTTGGAACACGAAGAATATTTTTTAAAGTAAGAAAAGGACCGATATGAATGTCACATAGACCAGCTACAGTAGTTAAAGAACCATCACCTACTGCTATTTTTTGATTGCTTGGACAGGGGTTGTAGGTGTTAAAATTTAGTGAAGAACGAGCCATATGGTCTGTGGCTCTCGAGTCAGTAACCCATAAATTCTTGATAGTTTCATCTGAGACATTTAGCCCTTGAGAAAATGAGAACTTACCTGAGTATGCAAGAGAGCATGAACCACTAGGTTTTTCCAGTGATCCTAGAAGTCCCTTAGCTTCTCTATCTCCTCCATATTAAACGTGGCCTAGTTTTGAGCTGGCTAATTCATGTTGAGATAGGATTGGTTTCGCTGTTGTCCAGCATTATGTTGTTGTCCCTCTTAGTTTCCCCACTCCTTGCTTGGTAGTTTACCATTTAACTTCCAGCACCAGTCTCTGGTGTGTCTCAGTTTTTTGCACTAAGTGCACCAAAGATTGTCAAGGCTATCTTGATTCGAGGATCGAGACAAATTTGCCTTTCCATCCATCTTTGTCGCCATAGCAGAACCGTCAAGGACTTGGGGTTCAAGCGTCACCCCGTTGACTCTCCTTTGCCCAGATTAGAGAAATGGTCTCGTTCAGAGAGGGTATCTCTTCTTTGCCAATAATCTGGACCCTTACTCGATCAAGCTCAGCATTAATTCCTGCAAAAAAATCACACTCGATCATTTTCAATAAATTCTTCAAGATTGCTGCATCTTCTGGACATTTGGTCTCAAAACAGCGATAATGGTCTAGCTCTTGCCATAAATTCTGAAGCGCATTCACGTACTCAGTAACAGTTTTGCTGCCTTGTTTCATTGAACTGGTCTTGACCTTGATCTCATACACCTGACCTGCATCACGAGCCTTCGAGTATGTGTGTTGAACAGAAATCCAAATTTCCTTAGCCGTGGATAGAAACATACAGGTGTTGCTGATTCCAGGAGTCATGGAGTTCCATAACCAAGACATGATCATGGAATTTTCTTCATCCCATGCTTCAAATTTGGGGTCTCCCTTCTTCAATCCTGTTCCCAGAAGATGACTAATTTTCCCCTTTCCCTTTAGATATGTGTGGATAAATTGGGAACACTTGAGATAATTCTTCCCATTTAATTTGTATGTTGCTTGGATATTCTGCAGATCACCAGAAGATGGATGATTGAGGACTTTTGTGGACGTTGTGGCCTCAGACATATGGGTTAATGGTGGAGAAAAGGGTAAGATCAAAGAGAGAGAAATTGGCGATTAAGGCCAGAGGACAAGTCAGCTATGAAGGCCAAAAATACATGAAAAGCTATGGAGGCTAGAAATTTCCAGAAAATAACCTAAGGCTCTGATACTACATAAACATTCATGGGAAAAATGATTTCTTTGATATTATTATTAGGATGCATTTCAGATCAATTTATACAAAATAATCTCTAACTAATTACAAAGAGATAAATGAGAGAGTAAATAATGAAACTAACTCCTAAAAGACAGAAACACCATTATCAGTGGGACTCTATTTTTTTTTAAAATTTAAATCCCACATTTCTAGTATTTCTATAACTCCTATTCCTATCATTCGGATATACACAAGTATACAATAACTTGTCCATTCCAACAACTAGTTTCAGGTTTTTTTTTGGTCATTGGAGGTTGTTGTCTGTGGTAACTGATGGGGGATGAAAATGAACTGCCAGAAATAAATTAGTCAATAGAAGTAAGATTTTCGTAATCATGCATGTTAAACTTTCTGCAAAATTTTAGTGTATTCTTTTGATATTGTCATTATGCTTTGTTTACCGTGGTGGTAATTCCTATGGAATATTTTGAAGTGAGCTGAAATACTTATTTTTTCTGTTTTAATGACAGGCTATCTATCATCTTGAAAGAGGGGATTCTGTTTTTGTGGCAGCTCATACGTCAGCTGGGAAGACTGTTGTTGCAGAATATGCATTTGCTCTCGCTTCAAGAGTACGTCTTTTTTTCACTGTGTCAAGATTATGTGCTGGTTAATTAGATAGTTTTGTTCTCTAATCAATTTTGTGGAGAATGCTTCTTTTTTATATCTTCTTTTGTTCTGTGCATTGAAAATTTATAACGAGGCTTTGAACTTATGCAGCACTGTACAAGAGCTGTGTATACTGCTCCAATTAAAACCATCAGCAATCAGAAGTACAGAGATTTTTGTGGGAAATTTGATGTTGGTCTACTCACAGGTGATGTTAGCTTGAGGCCTGAGGCCTCTTGTCTCATCATGACCACTGAGATATTAAGATCAATGCTCTACAGGGGTGCTGACATCATACGTGACATAGAATGGGTAAGATGTTTTTAATGGTGCATGTCTCCCTTTTCCCCTCAAGAAAACAATACATGTCTTCCTTATGATATTTAATCTTTCATTTATCTCGGATCCGTAAAATTTACATCTTTTTTTTCTTGTTAAATAATTCTGAGACAACTGGCTTTTTGGTTGTGCTGTGTGTGGAAATATAGGTCATATTCGATGAAGTGCATTATGTTAATGATGTTGAAAGAGGTGTAGTTTGGGAAGAAGTTATTATAATGCTTCCTAGGCATATCAACTTTGTGCTACTTTCAGCCACGGTATGTCTTGACATCAGTTTTCATCTGCACATTGTTTATTTATGAAGTGTATTTGACCATAAATTATCTTGGTCTTGGTTTACATGAATTTCAAAATTATAATGCATTCTGATTTGCCGTTTTTGAGAGATCTAAAGTGTTAGTGGTGCCGTTCTTATCAGCACGATACTTTGAATTATGCATGTTGTAATAACTAGTAAGAGTTGACGAGACAATGTCATGGCATGCATAACGTAGATGTAAGGTTTATTCTTAAGTTGTTGGAATTACATTAGGCTAGCTGGTGGGAATTTGGAATATCATCTTTCATCACACAAGATAATTTAAGCTCCTATTGCTTAAATAGTTTTCAGGCTACAACGTATATTTATTACTAATACAAAAAGATGGTGTCTTCTGTCGTCCGTGTAGATGTTAATTAATATGATGATAGTGGAAGGGTTGAGATAAACAGGCCTTATATGACTAGAAATGCCATTAAATTTCTTTTTTATTAACAAAGTATTATTTCCTATAAATTTGTGGTTGACTATGCGAGTTAGTGCTGGCTTCCTCGATTACACAGTTGACCACAGAGATTTGGCGGTAGGGAGTTTTAACATAGATTGCAGAGATACCCATAGAGCTACATATTCCTCAAAATCCAATAAAATGAAATCATCATGCCTTGTTAATTTCAGTCTGTGTCCATCTTCTAATGTATAGTTTAATTGGAATCACATTTCTTGTGAACATGAATCTTATTTGATGTATATTCTCGTTTCTTATTTTATCCATTATACATACGATAATCTATCTTTAACATTTTCATTTTAGCGATATTCATCTTATAAACATTTTGTCCTTTAAAGGTCCAACACTTGGTACCATAAAGTATACATGGTCTAATAACAACGCACAGTTAGGAAAGCATAACATCAATCTTATAGGCATCTTCACTTGAATAATTTTAGAATTCACCTTTTCATCCAGATCACTTTCATGTGTTTTGTTTTTCCTTTTTTAACAAGAAATTATCTCCCAATTCCTGCCAGAGTTACCTTAACTTGGAATTCCCATCCGGAGTACATGCTGTGAATTTTATTTTACTTTTACATAAAGAAATGATAGAATATATATTATACATGGGTCTTCAAAACCTGTATAAGAATTGGAAAGATTGTAAATAGCAGGAAAATTATAAATAGAGTAATTTAATGAAAGTGAATGGAATTGTTAATTGTCCAAAAAAATAGAAAAACGGAGAAGGGAACATGGACGTAAGCGGACTTTTCCACCTCCCATAATAAATGACACTCAATAGTGCTTGTAGAAGATGATGGACTATATTTATAAATCCTTCTAGCTTGTTAGTGTTGTATCACATTTTTTTGCTCGATTGTCTTTGATTTCTTTTCCTAAATGAAATGTTTGATACCATTTAAAGGCAATGGCAAACAAATTTGACAAAACATTTGATAAAAGATACGTTTTTGCATTTTATGTTCTTTTGAGATAATTTTAACTCACATTTTCTAGTTTTTTAAACTAAAATCTTGAAAGTTGATGCTTATTAATACCTATGTTTTCAGTGCAATTTTTCTTTCTGTTACCATATTAAGGACCCGTTTGGGATAGCTTCTGCTTATGCTTTTGACAAGTAGAAGAAGAGAAGCAGAAGTCCGAGCTTTTGAGTTAGCGTTTGGTAACTAATTTTAAAAGAGCTTTTTCTTCCGGAAGAGCTTTTACTTGTGTTTGGCATGATCATGCCAAAAGCTATTACGGTATTTAAAATGTCATTTTTACCCTTAATGATGAGAATGTATTAGTTTAATTATCATATTAAAATTTTATTAGTAAAGCATAGACATAAATTATATAGTCAAATTAAATAAAAACAACAATTTAAATTGAAGTTAGCGACTCAACAATTGATTTTAAACACATATTTTATGTAATCCATAATTGTTATCAATTTTTTAATTACATATTTATCATTTTTTTATCAAAATTTACTAAAATTTTAATTTTAATTACACTAAAAAGGTTGTTTGACAGTTTTTATACAAATTCACCAAAATGAATAGAGCTT